ATTTTTACTGAGGGTTACAAAATTTCTGGAGCCATACGTGGAATTCTCCTTATACGTGTACATATGTGTCAGTGTGTCAATTTTTGACTGTCTTTTACATAATTCCTATTTTTGTAAATGCTTTTCTTGGTGACCACCATATGCAACGGGTGACTAGTTAGAAAAGTATCATCATTGAAGTCAGTATAGCCTTTTGAACCGAACGGAAGTCATCAAAGGGAAGTAACACTTTACTCTTCCTACTAAATTTGATTTTAATCGAGTTCTTCCAGAATTTTACTCATTTTTGAAATACTAAATTCGACCTCTATCCTTTTTATGAGATTCTACAGCAAGTGTCATGGAGTCAATCGTTATCCTTAAGCCAAAAGGTGTTATCACCTTCCTCGTTTCGTGGTCTGATCCTCTGTATCTCGTTTGACAAGCAGACGAGCCTGTATCTGTCTATATTCGTCCACTGTCAATATTGACATTCGATTTGCTTCTTTGTTTAGGCGTTTGTTTCCCTTTGCTGGCTTGTCTCATTGTCTCATCTCGATATATAGGATAGAAGTCCTGTTTATTAGGCTGTCTGACATCCTATCTTGTAATTCGATTCGCAATAAACAATTAACCTCGTGGCGCCTTATAGACACTTATGCTCGAGAGATCATAAACTTGGCTAGCCATAAGAATCAGCAAGTTACTTAGCAGAAACAAGTATGTGATATTCGGTCTTTAAGACGTACGACTATGAAGGGTGACTACTTAGAACCTGAAAAAGGTTTTCTGCAGGGATTAGACGGGGTGCTGGAATAATCTTCTTGCTCTTGTGCTGTTGGGTTTGCAGGAGACTAGCTAACAAGTCTTCGTAAACATCCAGAAGACTAGAAGACTCCATAAGATTAGAACATTCGATTCTATAAGCAGTTTCTGGGCCAGATTTTGTCAATAGTTTAACGAATCCTTGGAAAATAAGATGACATAGTCGTCTTTCGAGTTTCTTAAAAATAAGCCGTTACTGACTTGGAATGTCGGTGCTTTGGGAACGAATGCAGTTTGGCGAAGAAAGTTATTTGGGCCACTCGCGAAGAAAGTTATCCAGATGGGTAATTAGTTTCAAAAAAGTAATTGTAGAAAGCTATAATACTCCACTCTATAATTACTAAAATGACATTCGTAGATTGTTAGAAAAATGGCGTCAAGTGGCGTCAAATAGTCGCCGTGAGAAAAAATAAAAGGCAATCGGTATCCCAATTTTGATAGCCTATATTTATAATTTTATAATTTTAATTATAATAACTCTTTCAACTTTTTATTCTTTATTTCTTAAAACTAGGTATCCATTTGATTAACTTCACTAACAATAGGTACAAAATAAGTGCAAAGAGGATACGAGGATTTAATGAATTTTCGGGCTCCATGAGTACAATTTAAGAAATATAATCTTCTTCGTGGTTCTTTGCTAACTGTAAGCGATTTTTCAGATATCGAGATTGCAATAATTATAAAATTTCGTTGTCAGAGAAAGATTCCTCTATTCGACCTAAGCCCTCACACCCATAACACTTAGAACGGGCTCAAAATCGAGCTGTAAAATGTCAAGATCTTCGATGTCGAACCCCGTTCGACCCCAGGAACGATAAAACGATTCCAAACGAGGCTACCTCCGATTAGTGCCACTAAACCAACTCCTGCCCGGTTCAGACCGTCCATTTCCAACTCGTCTGAACGTTCGGCTCACGACAAACATGCTACACGTACACAGGTGTATACGTACACGGACGACGTCGGGACGTCTAAAAACATTTCGCGTTTGAGAAGTTCAAACAACGCGCGAACTCTTGCCTGCTGGAATGCCAGGCCTGGTCGCGGGAGAAGGACGGCACGGTCGTTTAACACCATCGTTTAAAATTTATTTTGCGAATTGGCCAGAGTCGCCCGAGGGTCCTGAGGACGTATCTAAAACCTTTCGTCTCCTCTCCTCTCCGAATGTCCGTTCTCCTGGTTCGTTCCACCGGCTCTCACCGTGCTGATCCTTCAGGCCCCTCGGGGTAGATCGTATTCAAGTGCTCCGTGGCTAAATTTAGCGGCTGGATAATTTACCGGATTCTGTTGAACGGCTCTTTTACGAGTGTTCACCTTCTTTGCCGGACACGCTCGCCATGGTGACTTCCGCGATCTTTTAAGGAATTATCGACCTTCGTAACCGTGGCCGGACTCCGCAAAAATCCACCCTCTGTCTCCGTTCGACGCCTTATCGCCGACGTATCGTTCCACGTTCAGTTCCCTGCTTGAATTCGAAATTTTCTTTCGTCGAAAAAACCCCGTGAAAAAAAGTTGAACCGGTTTTTCGCCGGGATATAACGAACGCAGTCAGCCTTCATCGTGAAACGAAGTACCACCACTTTATAGCTGCGCGTATGTGCGGGTTCACGTGCGTGTGAAGTGTACGGACGGAGTTCATCCGAGGGAATTTTCAAGGAGAAATTATTTTCTGCTCTACGTTTCAGAAATGTATGCGCGTGTACCCGCGTGTACCCGCGTGTACATAGTCCAGTGGGGTAAAAAGTGACGTAGGTGTTCCCGTGTCCGGTTTGAATGGGGCGATTGTACCCGTGGAATACCGGGACTAGACCGTGAATCTTACTTTGTACCACTCGTAAAATTACTCTTTCAGTCAACATGTTCGCCTTTGAAAGACGAACGCGCGTTTTAATGACCCCGTGTCGTGTAAATGTAAAGTTTATTGCTCATTAAGCGCTGGTTTACTTTATTACCGTCCAAGATCGAGGATCCTTTGTCGCGGATCAGGCTGCGCGTGATCGACGCTTCCTCGATGATGGAACGATCTAGCCACGAATATCCCTACGATCTTCCAGTTTATTGCTTTCTTTGCTACGCCTCGCCGCGTGCAAACTTAATTTCCCTTCAGTTTCCTCGGACTCGCTCGAGCCGTTCCAATGGTTATAAGTCGTGACAGGTGTGCCGCGGAAATTGTGCGAAAAAATGGCGAAAACGTGCATTCTCTCAAGTGTCAGAATTCGTTTCAAAACAGGAAACGCTCGCGTTTGACTTTGACGAATTCTTCTTACGTATCACCGTGTCTCGATCTCCATGGATATTTTCCAACTAGTTGTTAATCAATCTACGCTCGTTCTACATCGTTGAACCCTGTCAACATTTCGCAATACGCATATTTCGAATCACGGGAGTATCAAGGCTTCAATGACAGGCTTTACTGTCATACGCGCCCAAGACTGCTTATTTAGCATAAGAAACGGGTAACACGAGTGTGTTAGAATAAATATGTCGAACCATATAAATCTACTTGGAATAATGTGCTTATCTCTCGTTGTCTAAAAATTATACTTCATTGTTCGCCACGCGTTCGTGTGACATCAGACAGCGATTGGAAAATTTAAACGAATATTTTCCCATCGAACTAACACCTTTTTTAAATTTTATTCAGCGTAGGATACAGTAAAATATTAAATTATCGAGGAATATAAATATAAAATACCCATATTTTACGTAGAACAGATATAAAATATTTTAAATCGAGTATTTATTATTCTATCTGTATATTTTCATTATTTTCACATATTCGGAGTATGTCAAATATAGATTATTTTATATTTTAATACAAGATTTAAGATTTAATATTAGATTATTTTATATAGATTATTTTATATAGATTATTTTATATTTTAATTGCATCAAACAGCGATTGGAAAATTTAAACGAATATTTTCCCATGGAACTATCTCTGTTTTTAATTTTATTCAGTATAAGATACAGTAAAATATTAAATTATCGAGAAATATAAATATAAAATACCCATATTTTACGTAGAACAGGTATAAAATATTTTAAATCGAGTATTTATTATTCCATCTGTATATTTTCAATATTTTCACATATTCGGAGTATGTCAGATATAGATTATTTTATGTTTTAATTACAACAAGTTATAAGTTATAACGAGAGGTATGGCGTTTTGAATTATGCCGAGGTGTTACGAGTAGCCACGATATATCAAAGACGAAGTGACTAAACGTGTTCGACGCGTAATACTCGTCTGACTTAAACGTAATTTAGAGACGCCATTTTCCTGCTTCGATTTCCTGGGACTTAAAGCCGCTCAAAAATTAAGCTACGAAACGACGTTGCGGTACACATTCGTGACGTGATATTACAGAAACAGTTCAGCAATTATTCTGCATTTCAGGCTACAATTATGGTAAAACCCCGCAATTTACAGTTGATCATTTTCTACGAAATAATTCGCGCACGGAGCTCGTATCTGTATCGTTTCGCGTATCTTGTACAGAGATAATCACCAAACACATTGAAATTAAAGCTTTCACGACACGCGTATTAATCACTGTCATTTTATTAACAGAGTATTATTCGCGTACAGTCATCCTTGACAGCGAGTTACATCCACGTCTGTAGAGTTAAAATGGTAACCGATATTAAAAAATCAAATAATCAAAAATTCATTCTTTGGTGAAGAAGCTTTGGAGTAGGACTAAAATTTCATTTTAGAGGTATTGCAAAATGGAGTCATGGATACTAGCTTCACTGTGCTAGAAAATGCTATGCTTAATAAAAATAAAAATACGTTCAGTAAATTAATTCTATATTACCAAAATTGTTCTTTTATTTGGTCCGAGTCACTCCCTCGATGATTTAAAAAATTTTTGCTCAATTTTCTACCAAATTTCACATACGTATTACGTATTTTTATAAATCTAGATCGTTTTATTTTCAATTTTATTTGAATTTTATTATTTTATTATCACGTTAAGATGTTTCTTTTTATTCACCAAGCGACCTCTCTGTTCTTCCCACTTCTTGTTTACCATTTCAACTCCTTGATTATTCTGCGTTCAAAACTTCTGACCGAGCCATTATCACGACGAAGCTGCTGCTTTCTCGAATTAACTAAGAGAGCTCGGACTTGATTAGGTGAAGTGGCAAGGATACAATGGTAATTTGTCTCTTCTTCCTTCCAGGTACGGTGAGAAGCAACGAAGAGCCGACAGTCAAGAGCTCAGTGGTATACAATTGCTCTCGGCAACTGCTTATCAACTGAAGAAACCCTATCAACAGCTCCTCATACCGATCACAATATGGATCGGCATGGAGCAGGCGTTCATCGGAGCAGACTTTACACAAGTGAGTAATTAAATTAACAAACTCTTATTGCCATTCGCTGTAATTCAGTACGTATCAAACTCGAACTGTATACTTGGTTAGCTCATTTTCATTCGAGCCATTTCTCTTTCCTTTTTCCTCTATAGAGAACCTGAAACTATCAGCGAAATCCGACTAAGGATATATTTGCAGAAACGAGTTAGAAGGAATATGATAACGTCGTGGTACTAGACAAACCTAATAATTAATTTTTTATGGAATAAATCCGTTCCTAATATAATTCCCAATTTAACTTATAATTCCTTAGAGAAGTTAAATTAGGAATTATGTTAAATACGGACTTCTCCATAAAAAATTAATTATTAGGTTTGTCTGGTATCTAACCCGACTCGTTTCAGCAAATATATCTTTAATCGGATTTAGCTAATCGTTTAAGGTTTACTTCTAACTCGATAGAAAAGTTAAATTTGGAATTATGTTAGGTATGAATTTTAACGTCGTGGCACTAGACAAATCTAATAATTAATTTTTTATGGAATAAATCCGTTCCTAATATAATTCTCAATTTAACTTATAATTCCTTAGAAAAGTTAAATTAGGAATTATGTTAAATACCGACTTTTCCATAAAAAATTAATTATTAGGTTTGTCTGGTATCTAGCCTAACTCGTTTCTGCAAGTATTATATCATTAATCGGATTTAGCTAATCGTTTAAGGTTTACTTATAACTCGATAGAGAAGTTAAATTTGGAATTATGTTATTTTTCTTTTTATTAAGCTTTTAAATCTCTCATGAGATTTATTCGCTGTTCAGTGATATAATATAATGATATGTACATGGGTTATTTATATATTAATGTTACGTGTTTTTAAGAATAAAAGAATACACGAACACGCTTCAATGTTGGGTTCAGCAAGCAAAACAGTCACAGTGGTTGGTAGAAACAGTTTTAAGCTACATAGTTGCTGTTATAGCTTAGTTCTTTGAGATTCATAAAGGGGACATTGCTAGACTATGTGGTCGATGTCTTGTTCGGAACTAAGTAATTACATGGGCACCTTGGAATTATGTTAGGTATAGATTTTTCCATAAAAATTTAATTATTAATTCAATTTTGTTCAAAACCACCCCTAAATTTCATCTGTATACACAGACTCTAATAGGTCCCATCCTGAAACACCGGGATACGATCGTTCGATTAATGTTTCAAGAATTCGACGATTTATCCGGTTACTTAACAACTCAAAGTCAATTATGTACGACGGTACGAGCCGGAACAACCGGGTAACAATGAGATTCGAATAACGCCCACGATCGGTGCAAAATGAACCGAGTTTTCAGTGGGAACTCGACTCGATAAGACGTTGATTAACCAACGATTATGCAGCCGAGAATGGATCTTCGTGCAAGAAGGAACCGGTGAATGGAAACGATTTAAAAGTATAATAATATCTGTTAGAACGTGACGACGAGGTATTTTATCCAACGATTATCCAAGAATTCTGTGTTGCTCGGCTCGAAAGACACACACTGGTTCTTGTTCGAGGACCATACGTTATTTCCCGATGACGATATTTATCGTCGTCATGAAAATATTAGTATATCGAAGTAAAACGAAGCTGGTCAACGAGAGATTAATCATAATTTTTTAGGGTTGAGTTAGGCTTGATCGAGTTCAAATCATTATAAGTGCAATTCGGAATTGCGAAATTATGAAATTTTCAAATCTAATCTAAACTTCTTTCAAAACTCTCGAAATCCAAATACAAAACATTCTAACATTTTATAATTTCTAAAATCCAAAATTTGTTAACGCTTCAATTATCAAATTATTTTATTTTACAGGTATCTTTATCCTCCGTACTGCAAAATTGTTTAAGTAACATTGTTGACCATAGTTGAAGAAAATATGAACAAAAACCGTGAAAGAATACCTAATCCAAATTCAGATAACTCTGCTCCAATACATTTCCTTTTTATCGACCACGTATCGGATATCAGATATCCCGAAGAATTTTTTGAACGGTATCATTGATGACACTGTAACCTGCAACGAGCCATTTGCCCTTTAATTCGCCATCTTTAAATCTTGCCTAAAATTTCTGAAATATTCCGAATATCTTTAAGTACAGAGTTGGAGTTGGAGAAATTCGAGCGAGAAAACTGAAATCCAGTAGTACAGTAGTACTTTTCTCGATTTTTACGAATTCTTGAATTCTTGAAGCTTGCAGATGTCCTGGAAGTCTTGGAAGTAACGACCTTCCTTGAACTTGCGAATAAACGTGACAGCATTTTGTGTCGGAATGGCGAAGGTCCAGCGATGAAACCGGAAAAAGGGAAGTCGGTAACAGAAGTCAGATAAACTGAAATCGTTAATGATTATCCTCATCGGATGCAATATAAAAACCTGGCTCGGATCACCCGGATACAAACCGGATACAGAACGGCAGGTTCGTGATGCGTAACGGCCATGCGAGGTCGTGCAATTGTTCTCCGGAAATACATGCTACTGATCACAGATATGCTGAAATATCGGCCGAGGCACGCATCCTTTGGCTTTTAAACCGCTGAATGACTTGAAATTATAAGTTGTATAATATACGATCAGCTGCGTACACGACTGGGAAACGCGAAGATGAGAACAAAAGGCACTCGCGATCGCGTGTAAGTATTCCTGGACACTGTGATCGATTTTGCGGTTACAGGGAATGGCAATGGCACGAGTTTTAGCAAAGAGTGGAGATTAATGGAAGATCGATGACTAGGCGCCGGGTACTCGAGCACTTGTTACCCTTGGTGGAGAATCCGTGCTCGCAACGCTGTCATAGGGAGCTAACTGAAGATATCTGCGATCTTTAAAGTGGAAGATAACAAGATAATAATCGTGTTTTCAAGGGAAAATATAAAAATGTATTTGAGAAAGAGATCATAAAGATATAAAAATATCTGGAAGAAAGGGATGGTAAAATTATAAAAATATATTTTTTAAAATTCTGACGCTGTAATGAGGAAGCTGATTGAAGACATTGAGGACTTTAAGATGTGAGACAAAATAATAATCGTATTTTAAAAAGAGGCATTTTAAATTTGAGTATAAAAATATAGAAATATCTTTCGAAAAATTCGAACCCTGTAATAAAAAGCTAACTGAAGACATCTGTGATCTTTAAGATGGAAGATAATCTAATGATCGTATTTTGAAGAGAGAATATAAAAATGTATTTAAAAAAGAGATGACAAAGATATAAAAATATCTCGAAGAAAGGGATGGTGAAATTATAAAAATATATTTTTAAAAATTCTGACACTGTAATGAGGAAGCTAATTGAAGATATTGAGGACTTTGAGATGTGAGATAGAGTAATAATAGTATTTTAAAAAGAGGCATTTTAAATTCGAGTATTTTAGAAATGTATTTAAAGAAGAGACATTAAAAATATAAAAATATATTTTCTTCTTTTAATTTTAATCTTACAATATGAAGTAAAATGAAGACGTTGAGGGCTTTAATATGTAAGATAATATAACGTTAATATTTTAAAAAGGAGAGAATAAAAGTACAAAAATACAGTTGTTGCAAAATTTAAGCAAAATAAGAGGAAAAATTAGTCGAATATAAAGTGAGTCATAAAGAATATTAAAAATTATAATTTGTCATCGAGGAGTAAAGAAAAATGTTTGAGCAGCAGGTATTTTGAAGAGAGGTGATCGATCAAATTTGTCGACGTGAATTTATGGTGATGTAAACGTTGTTTTATATAATATTTACGTTACTACCTGCAATGTTAGCTAACGTTTTATAATGTGCCCATAAATATGTAACTTTCCTGATATCATACAAGCGAAGATAGTACAATCTCATGATAAAATGTCTTCCTACGAGAACTAGTAGTCTAGGTCAAAGTCAAATGAAAATTAAATCACCAATTCTTTACCCTCCATAATTTTAAATTACCTTAAATTACAAAATTTAATTACCCAATCTCGAATTAGAAAAATTCAAATTATCTTAAAATATTAAAATCACGTGATTTGTCCAAAAAGTCCTCCACGTTCGATTCTTAACTTAAAAATTAGTCGACCCGCAAACAAAGACGGAACAAAGGAAAGATTTCGCAAGACCCGACGATTTCAAGGTTGACATAACCTCAACTTCTCTCGTTACATATCCGTTTCCAACAATTACACCGATCATAGAGTTTAAAATCATCGTGGATCCTGTGGTCCGTAATTTTCTAATTAAATTACACCTCACACCGAAGACGAGCAACGATGTGGCTACTTTTGATCAGCAATATCCACGTAAACGCGTAAAGCAAGGCAAGAAAAAGAGGAGAAAAAGGGAGAAAAAAGGAGATGATACAGTTTGGAAGGCAAACTTGTTCGAAACCAGTTCAGTGACGAAATATGCGGGCAAATTGGGCAAGGAATAAAGTAATTGGACGAATAAACGCTACTGGAAGGCATCAGGATCCCGGGACGCTACCTTCCATTGAATCAGCTGGTTCGACATGTTATAAATAGCCCAGAATCTTATTCTTGCAGCAATTCCCCGATACCACTTCCATACCTGGAATCTCGTGAACCAGTATTTCTTCTTTTTTTCTCGTTCTACTCGTGCATCGACGGTGCAGCAGGCTCTGTGCAGCTATCACGCACACGAGCGTCTAAATGAAAGCGCATAGGCACGTCGAACGCATCCTTAGAGCCTCTGCGTCAGTGAAATTTCTTCAATTTCCCAACCAATATTCTCCTCTCACCTGATTCCTGTTATACTAACTATTTCGCAATTCCTCAGCCTGGCGTTCATGAAGATTAAAATTCTGCTATCCCTACTGCAGACAATCCTCATCGCGCAGACGGGGTTCACTATGAGGGTTGATTAAGAAGACGTAGATCAAGAATATTTTTCAGATCATGTGAACATATAGTCTCCTTTTCAGATTTTAACACCAGGCCTAACGGTGTTTTAATAAAGTGATCAGAGTCTGTCACAATTTTACTCGGAATAATAGAGTTTATTATATTTCTCATTCGCTGGAACTAACAAGGAGAGTGCAAGTCCTTTGGGTCACCGATTTAGTTGAAACTTTGCAGGTTTGTAGATATCGTCATGCAGTTTATGAAAATATATTATTATAACCGCAACTACTTAATAGTTTTTGAGATATTTAT